CGAAAAACCATACTACTTAGGCACTATCAGTAAATTTATATCTTAATTTATTCCAATCCGATTCTTCTAGGAGATCGGAAAATATGGATGGCCTGTCTCCTATGGACTAAAGGACAAAATGGAGGTAGGTATAAATTTCGTCCTTTTTTCCTTTTCCTCCTTCAAATGTATTCTCTATAAACTGGTTAGGTTTTATGTAATTTTCTTCTGGGTTCATCTTTAATTGTTTCTCTCAGATAATGAGGCGCATTTTTAGTTGAGATGAGGTTTTAATTGTTATATAAAATTTTACGGATGAAAAACAAAAAGGTTCCGAAGCAAAGCCACGATGTCATCTATTTTGTCGAAGAACAGCCGAAGAACAACTGCCGGATTTTTTCATCATCTCTGACAACACTGTTTCATCACTCGCAAACCCCAAGGCAGCAATGTCTCCACCAGAAAAATAGATGACCAAGGAGCCCCTTGGAGGTATTTATGTTCGCCAATTAATAACTACCGCACGGTTTTTTTAAGTATTAATTAACCACTGACATCACCCACGGGCTTCCGATTATTAATTTTCTTTTACGTCTCTAAAACGTTTCCGCTTTCTATAATACATGTTGTCTTGTTAACGTTGCTAACCCTCAAATCCTCATATCTACAAATTTAACAGAGCTACTGCTGGAAGTCAGAAATAATGGACCACTAGACAAGGTACGAATTTCAGCATTCTGATTCATGTTTCTTAACTAAAATTTCACGTGAAATACGATGCGCACAACGAAAATTACCGAAATCAACTCCTTACGAAGATATTTAATGATTCCTGATGCGTAAATTCAAACCACCCGCTCAATAAAACTCAATGCTCTACGTGATTCACATCGCGCGTTGAATATTATCGTGACAGTCTCTGCGATATGAAAATCTGGCAACCACAATTTTGACGCTTTGGCTCAGCTATAGCAAGTTGCTTATAATTATAGAACAACACATGGTGGGAAATGAACAGTACTCTATTGAGAGGCTTGCTGAAACTGTTGTAGTGCGCGATTTGACTCACGTAGAGCTTTGAGTTTCTTGTGAGCGGGCAGTTCAAATTCCTCGTAACCAATGTGAAATAAAAGCGTTAATATCTTCGTTAGGAGTTGGTTTCAGTAATTTTAGTTGCACGAATCGTGTTCTACGTGAAATTCTGGTAAAGAAACATATATCTGATTGCTTAAATTCGTACCTTGTCTAGTGGTCCATTGCCACATTTGGTATTATTGAGGGGTCACATCTTCAGTCACATTTTCCGTCGCTCCTCTGACGGAAGGGTATATCTCCATTTCTCCATGAGCTATATAAAGCATGGAGTTACATGGAAAACAGAGCTCATGAGGAAATTAAGATACGCCCTTATATCAGAGGACCAACGATTTACCATCAAGACTTCCATAAAATATTTCTTAGGGAAATCTTAATGTTGAATACTGGTTGAAGTGTGGAGCTGGCTCATCATTTTCAACTCTGATCTTACATCTGCACTTATGTTTAAAGTCAGCCTTTTCCTCCAGAGTTCAATCATCCTTCAAAAATTTGAGCCGATGTAACAGCAGTTTAAGGTGTCTTCTGCGAAAGTTCAAAAAAAAAAAAAAAAAAAAAAAAAAAAAAAAAATCCATCCCTTGCTGCCGTTACAATTTTGATCCCGACATCAACAACTATTTTAAAGGCACAACAATTACAGTAAATTTTTAATGCTCATATATTCGTATGTTCCAACAACGAATGTGTAGAGTGCGTCTGAAATCAAAAACGAGCTTAGAAAGTGCAATAATGAAGGTTGGAAATTTATCTCCCTCTCTATTATGGTTTCTCTCTTTTATGTTGATTTTGCTAGCATTTGATAGCTGGTAACAGGTAACATTTTATCATTTTTTGCTAGGAAATCGAATTTGGTCGTGAAATTATTATTGATTTTATGTTTTGACCATTGGTACCTTTATTTCAGATAAAAGTGCTGCTGATGAGTAAAGCTACGTATGAGCTTCCAAGAGAAATATTTAATTCAAGAAAAAGAGCCAAGTGTGACTTGATTCAATTTTACCAAAAATCTGCAAAGCAATTTTTAAAAAGATCTCCGTTATTTTCCAGAACACGTGGCTCCCTTTTTCTATGAGTCCCGTCTGGTTGTTTTTTAGACATTCATCTAGCTATTCGTGATGGGAAAATACGTTTAGGGGGTGTCTTATCTAGTGTTCGAAACTCACAGGCGCCAACGCGCCAAATGCGTCTAAAAAATGAAGGCTCTGCGCCAAGGTGGTCCCTTAAAGTTGCCCTTACCCCCCCCCCCAGAAAAAAACCCCAAGTTTTCTGTTTGGTGATTTTTCGAAATGTCTACCAAGTTACAGCCACTTGTTCTGTAACTAAAATATCTTGGTCAAACTTTTCATTGAGTGCGCCGTGATATTTAGGCAAAAAGCCAATTTGGCCCCTGATAAATCTTCAATGACCCCTAAAAATCGAGCACTGGTCTTATATCAGTCTGTACAAAGATCATCCTCTTGCATTGTAGAATGAAGAACGACTTTCCTGCCTCTCTTTTCCTGTTACATTCCTCTCTACCCATGACTTTACAATAAAATCAAAATTGGAAGGAGAGCGATCTGTTTTAATGTTGGGCTCGTGTCGTTACTGGTCAAGATTTAGGTCATTCAGAAACGTAGGCCCACGCTGGATTTATCCGGCGACGGAAGGTCCCTAAAAGACGCGCAATCAAATCAATATGCGGGCCGAGTGCCGAGCGTTGTCTCTGAACATGCGACAATGACTGTCAAGTGTCAAGGCGACAAGAAATCGGCCGGCCGACCATCAACGCTGAAATTGAATATGGGGAACGCCGCCCCGATTTCGGATGGTTAAACGTCCATCGATCTGTAGGGGATTTTCACCCCATAAAAAGGGATGTAAAAATCCCGATTGAAGTATCGGTGAGGAGGCTAAGGCAGTGATGGCATGAATGATTGGAGGCAACAAGGGTACAGAATAGAGTAAAGGAGGGTCGCAATAAACGGGATCGGTTTGATTGTTGGTTTTTGTGGCTATTGGCAAGATCATTGTGTAGTTTTGGAGTTCAAATATGTGGTTAGAGAATCAGTTTATTAAAACAAATGTAAGAGTTTGCGTGTGTAACAATATGAGAGAATATTATTTGGTTTTCCTCGCATTTTGAAGATGAAATAGCTCTATGAAACTCATCAAAGTCTAAAAATTTCTCTCATATCTCCTTATTTGACCCCGGGAAAAATTCCAATTATTTGAATATGGTGTCTTCCTTTTCTCATAAGGAGTACCATGATTCATGAAGCTACTAAATAAAGCTTAAAGCTACTAAATAAAGCTTTTGATGTTGGTAATAATGGGTCCTATGTTTTGCCAGCTTTCGTTTTGGCAATTTAATTGTAATATGCCGAAGCAAATACGTGAGTCAGTTCCACATCACAGGAATAAGATATACGTTTCCTCTGTCAAAATGTCCCTATTCTTTATCCGTGGCCCGATTGTGAGGTCAGTTTGTTTCGCCGCTTTTTCAACTCTTCGGGCCCGCTTACAAGGACTATTAACTGGACGTATTTCTACCAAACAGACCTATGTGCAGGTGAGAAATATGGGGTACGCTCTAGAAAGCTGCATCAGAAGCAATGTAAATGTGGGCGTAATTACTTTTGAAGAATTGGAAAAGCGGGATTTTACATTCTATCAAACAGACCTATGTGCCAACTGAATGCGAGATTCATGAGCCGCGGGCATGGCAAGAGAGCGTTGTGGACAGGGCTCATGAGTTAAAGCGCCCCGACGACGATCACCCCCTCGCGCGTGCACTCGATCATTGCTGCTGACGTCACTGGCGCTTTATTATTCTCATTCACTTTGACGGCCAGAGAACTAACGAGTACACCCCATATTTTTCACCTCCACATAGGTCTGTTTGGTAGAAATACGTCCAACTATAGATTCGCTTTTGTTTGTTAAAAGGCTCCTAATTATGCTTCTTTTCCCATATGAAACAAAGATAAAATACTTTATAATAATACTTTTGTTCATAATTTCTCATCGTATCTCGGCAAAATAACGGCAGATTTGAAAGTGTTCATTTTGATTTATCAACATAAAATAGTAAGTAAAAATCTTGCAACATCGCAAATTGAGGTATGAATGATTTTTACATCACCATTGTGTCATTGAGTGTCATTTCAGCGAGAATCGTGATTTTCTGTCTTCAAATCGCACTGATATTGTTGAAGGCGCTCTAAGCAACTATTCCGCCACCACGGTACTGCACCGTATCAGACGAAAATGAAGGCGCTCCAACATACGTGAATTCACTGATATTCTTTATTACAGTGCAGAGTCCTACTAATCATCCGATTAGCGGTTCCTGTTCGATGGATTTTTGTGAAACTAGGTATCAGACAGAATTTTTTGACGGGACACTTGAATTTTGAATCACATTTTTATAATCCGAAAATTCAAGACAGTGGACGTGGCCTTGAGTGTCATTTGGGCTTCTGTTCGGTCGAATTTTGTGGAACCTAACGTAAAAATGAAATTTTTCGTCAAACTTTCAAAATCAAAAATTTAATACAGCGAAAATTTGATTCGTTAAAACGACAAGACCGTTTTTTCCGTGATGACATGACCTCAAAATTATGGCTTTACCCGCACTCTATATATCGTCGGCTTAAGTCCGCAATCACATATCTCGTTTGCGGTGTCTAAAAATCACCGCCTCTATGTTGTTTTTTAAAGGAGAGCAAATTGACATTATTCCTTGAAGTTTATGCAGAATTCGTTCGCTTAGAGAAGCAAAATCACGGCAGCTGTAAAATATTACCGTTGAGTAGTTTTCCGTTTGAAAAATAAAGTATGACAGGAATTCTGCGACGTCGCAAACTGAGTTGTGAGATTGCCGATTTACACCGTCGATATAAGGTGATCTAGCGTGGATGAACAGGGAATAATTCAATTAAAATGCGATGTGCATGCTACAAATGTATTTCACAGCTTATGTTTTACAAATAATGGGAAAAGCGCGGAGCTATCCGGTGTCAAAGATGTTGATGGTGTGCGTTGTGCATGTTCCGAATGCAGCATTTGTTTTTTGGGGGGCGGAGAGAGGAGGGGTGATGTTACCAGTTGAAGTGATCGTGAGGATCTTCCTCGGAGCAAGTGCAGCCTGGGCCGTGGGGGCCATGTGGGACGATTATGGAATCAACTCCGCCTCCGCCGCCTCCGCCTGCACGTCCACCACCGCCTCCGCCGCCTCCGCCTGCACGTCCACCACCGTTACCACCGTTACCGCCGTTACTGCGTCCTCCGTTTTTATTTTTTCCAGCTGGTGCAAAAGAATCAGTCGGGTCAAGGTCATCATCTAGTATTAGGGTACGAGTACCAGGTATTCTTCTTCTGAAATTATTAAATCCAACGACTCTTAATCGGACCGCGTTAAACAGAAAGGAACCAAGCCACATCAGCTATTGCCAAAGTTAACCGGGCCATTTAGTCTTTAACGAGAGGACGTTCGTGTGGATTCCTTTGAAATTTTTAAGGAATTTGCTTCGTACTATGGAGAAAATCCACTGAAATTTGCACAAAAACCCGCACAACCGTTTTCATGTAAAAATTTAAATTGCCCGGTTAAATTTGGCAATAGCTGATGTGGCTTGGTTCCTTTCTGTTTAACGCGGTCCATTATTAAGTCTACGCTCACACTCGTCTCGCTTCTTTCGCGAGTTTCAATTAAACTCGACTTGGTTTTTGATACCTGGACGAATTTACGCCAAGTGGAAAGATGGAGTGTGCTCGTTAGTTGAGGGCCAAAAGAATGAATGGGAATTTAAAAGCCGGTTTGAAAACTGATCCAGAACATGATCTAAGAATTTTTCGCAGGTCATATTGATCGAAAATTTTCCTCCATTTAAATAGTTGAATCTCTTAGAGACGTCGATTTTGTGTGATGTGGATCGCCTCATTTACAATGTATATATTAAAATGCATATAATTTAAATGACGGAAAACAGCGTTATCAACTCGTAAGAATTGCCATCATGAAGATCAGTCCTACACAACTCAGCTTCTGATATATTCAATCAGGCTCAAGTGCTCATGCTTGTTACGAGACTCCCTGTAAAATTGTAGGTTGGCGCCCTACTATATCACGGATAACTTACCCTGAGATAGGAGTGTTTCTTCGGGATGGGCGCCAGCTCCTGAAAATCCGATAAAACAGTATCATTATAGTGACTCATTGTAAGGCAGAATTTGTGGTCCCGGTTTGTCCACGAAGACTCAAAATCGAGTCTCTGACGCCAGATATAATAGATGAGCGCCTCACAAAAGGTTGCGGGGCATAGACGAAACGGAATGGTAAAGCAAAATCGGAGGTGTGGGCTTTTGATGTTTATGGTTCAAAGAATGTCGTTTCGAGAGAAATTTTTTGAAGACACTGAGGTGAATTTTTTAGAGAACATGAAATTTTTGGATTATAAATTAACTTCACGCTAATTTCAGACACAAAAAATAACCCAGTTATTCGCATTTTATTCCTTGGGGAAAACTTTTAAACTGGGGAAAATCTCCGTCGAAGTCCCCGGATCTGATTTTTCGCTCCAATGAACCACAATATACGATAAATGACAATTTTAAGCATTCTAATACACCTCACCTCATCAATAATGCAGGTAAAACACGATTTGCCCAACAAAAATTATTGAATTAAATCTCCGGTCAAAATATTAACGTGTTCATTTAGCATCGATAATGAAGTGTTCCATTTCAACCCGATGATTTTCAGACTGTAAACAACGTGCAACAGCAGAGCCGCAGCTTTGAAATTGAGATTTTTATATAGTTATACTGCAAAACTGTAACGATAACGTTTAGTGAGTGATTTTACTCAAGCAATACTGTTTAGATATCTCATTGAATTTATGTATCGAAAAACGTTACTACTTTTCTTAGGAGTTACTTTCAATGATTTTCGTTGCTCATATCGTGCTCTACGTAAAATTTTGATGAGGGAGCTGGTATTATAATGTTTAAATTCGCACCCTAACAAGATTGAGGCTCATTTCAGAAAAATTCTGCCGAAATTTTTTCCGGGTCCCTTTTCTCCGCATAAAAAGCCCCCTGTGTATGCGTTATTAATCAATTATAATAAGCCAGATTGTTTGCATATATTTAATCGCTCATATTAGACGTGTAGCCGTCATGCCCCGCTGTTTGTATAGATTTGTACTTTACGGCGCTTTACTGATGAGTCAGTCGAATAATGCGCTGAGACTTGAGTAAAACAGTTTAATCGCTTGCAGTTGTTCGGGAGTCCCCCGATGATTCGATTTTAGCCGTTAGCACTCAACTTCCTTTTATCCCTGCATTAATTGGTTTTATCTTGGTTAATTGACATGCAGGTCACCTGGTCACATACATGAGCGAAAACTTCCTTGCACTGGTCTCAAAAGTTTAAGTTATTGAGAGTGTTTAACTCTGACCTCATAGGGGCAGACTCTCGTATTGCGAATTAACCTTTATCCATAAACTGTCACTTTAAAAAAGGACGCAGTAAAAATATTCAAGTATTTCGAAACACTGCGTGGGAAAAGAGGGTTAAAGAATAACAGAGAATAAAAGTAAACGTCTCGTGTAAAATTTCCGAATGTCTCAGGGTATCTCAAATACAACTCAACAAAAGGTTTGAGGTAAAAAATTGAATACTTGTACTCATATTATCGATTTTTTTTGTCTCATGGAGAAAAATGGGAGGGGGGGGGAAGAGGGAGAGAGAGAGAGAAAGAAAAAAAATTATAAAATTCGTGGCAATTCAGTGCACAAACGGAAAATATTTGTCAATGAGTGGAATCATGTCTAAACTAAAGTCCCTTTATAGGGAGGGTTGAGACAATGCGGCTAATGAATGGCACAAACGGGAATAAAGTTTACACAAATTGAACGATTCTCGTACCGGTTCATCCCAGTTTACAATCTTTGCAATTGGTGAAAATTTAATCTTTATTCCCATTTGTGATATGGTGAAGGCTTAAAATACGAGAGCCAAACAGAAATAGATTCGTATTGTCTGTACTCTCAGTATATAGGGACTCAAGCCGAAACGGAACTTGGTCATGGCGGAAAACTGGTCTTGATCACTCTCGGTCCTACGAGTTTGCATATTAAATACAAACAAACCTATCCATAATGGAGTTTTAAGACCCCAAAAATGGGGAAAAGACAAGTCAACAGGTACTGAGAAAGGAAATAAACGCACTTTTGGAAGAGTGGTTTGTGAGTACTGAATCCCAAAATCTCCTCGTTTCCGGATGAATTCTTTGGGGCTACGCTTGGAAGAGCTCTGAGGGGTCTGGCAAGCTGACGTCCATTTGAAGGCTCTCTAAAAAAGCGCGGAAGCTTTCAAAATACTCCATCAACTTACTTTTTGAGGAGTCAGTGGCGGAACTAGAGAGTTGCAGAGAAAAGTTTTCGTGATTGGTCAAAATAAACTTGGTAAATCAGTCAGAGATCACGAGCCTAAACTTAAATATAACTGAAGCAAACAAAAGTGTCTGTTTCGGTGAGTTTTTCCTAATAAAAGCATGCGACTTTAAAAAAGAAGGATCGAAGCGGAAAACATTTGGAAGGAAGATTGGGCTTTATGATAGGTGAACTTGAGAGGAAGAAAACGGTGAAGGGGAAAAATATAGTTAAAAAATATAAATATAGTTGTGGATCGAGTAGTTATCTTACTTTCTGAAGGAGAGAACCATTCCTGATTTCGGTGGCATGCTCCATTCACCAGAGGTAAGACTGTCGTAACAGGAAGAGCTACAAGTTAAAAAACAAACAACAAAAAAATTTTAATAATCATTTTCAAATATACGTATGAAGTGCGATACAGTTTGAATGCTTAAGACGTTAATAGCCTAAGTCGCTGAATGTCTCAAAATTATAATAACTAACTAACTTCATGGTTTATAAAATGTAGAATACATTTTTGATGAAGCCTACAAAATTCGTTCTTTAAGGTTATGGTATTTATTAATTTGAGGAATTTAACGGGTTTAGTCCAAATGCATATTACAAATTTAGTCCCGATCTTTATAGTCTTATTTTTCCCTCAGCAATCACTCGAATGAAATCCCTTTTCTGAAAAATATAAACTTGCAGACGTTTTGAAAAAAATAAAATGAAAATCGATACAAATTAAACTGCATATAGAATCAAGACCGAGACTAAAAGGCATACATGTGAAACATCATCGCCGCGAATTCTATCATAATAGAAAGTAAGAGCGCCTTCAAAAAAAATAAGGTTGTTCCACCGCAACTAATCCAACTCAAATGTGCGCTTATTGTATCCGAAGTTTTTGAAGGCAAATATTCCCGGAAGACCAGTCAATGGGTGCGGATTATGATATTTTGAAACATATCTTCCGCATTGCATGCAAATAATATGATCGTAAAAATATGATAATGTTTATCATTTTATATCGACGGTGAAACTTCCAAGCACGCATTTCATTTGCTGTGTTAAAAAATCTTCATTCCTGTTTGATATCTTTAAAAGAGAACAAATCTTTATCATTCCTTGAAGTTTTTATGAAAGCTGCCTCGCGCGGAGAGAAAAAATCACGGAAGTTATTAAGTATTGACGTTTAGTAGCTCTCCTTTTAAAACTTGAGGTATGACAGGAAGTCTGCAACGTCGCAAACCGATATAAGTGGTTTGAAGTTTTCACCATCGATACTCGAAAATGCGGAATGCCAGCGAGAAATCAAATTAGGTGAAGTTAAATTCGTATTTTTCTTAAGGTTCTTTATTTCATTCAAAATCGCGCTGAAGAAGACGATCAGCATCATTGGACGATTGAAAATTGTATTTTACGAATTGAAGATAATCAGGTTTCATTTAAAAAGAGAGCAATTTTTTTTTAGATTATTAATGTACTAAAGGCTTCGTTTAACATTCCAAATGGTTTTTGATTATATGGCATTGCTAGCACGTAAGAGTAAAATGACCTGGTACTTACACGTTGCTGCATTCGGACTGCAAGTTGACACTTCTCATCACGATTTTCCGAGGGGAAGCCTGTGCCAGATCCGGGATCTCTCTTTCCAGAACAAACGGATCACTGAAACCTTTGCCAAGATTCATTATGGCCAGGTAGATGTTATTATCGTCCTGTCTGCAAGGGAGAGTAATAACCAAAATCAGTTCAAATAATTTCGAACGCAAATGAATAGTAATAAAAATGCACAAGTTCGACTGAAGGAAACAACTTTTTGACTAACTTTACAGTGACTGTGCAAATGAGGAACAAAATATGGTTGCATTAGGGGAGGCCCGTCTACCTTTCAAACTCTTATTTCCTGCGATCTCGTCATGTTTCAAGACGGCTCTGGGTAGAACTAGAGCATCCAAAAAAAATATTTTACCAGAAATATGGTGACATAAATATTTTAGAGGCTTCTTACCTTGTGAAAGCGAAGACGTATTCGGTTAAATCGTACATTTTAAGTTCGCCATACATGAAAGCATTTTCTCTCTTGAGGGCTGCGAGACTCTTAAAGTTCTCCAAGTGAGAGGTCTGATATTTAGAGCGTAAAGTTCTTTCCACCTCGACATTAGTGCGGTAGTATTCGGGGTTCACCGGTACCCATGGTTTGCTGGCCTGCGTAAAACCTGGTGAAGTGAAAGAGGGGAACCTTGAGGATTATGGTTTAGCGACGGTTCCGATAGGTCACATGACCATGTTTCACGTACAAAAAAGAACTAATAGCTCCGAAAATTAGGAAATTGTTTGTTGAAAGCTATTGATAGTACTTTAAATCAGTTATCACGATCAAGGCAATGTTTCGTTCGATAATTTATTACCTATACAATCATGCTATCGTTTTGTTACATTTGTTTGAAGACGAAACAAGCGTTGTTAGTCTACACTTTATGTTGTCAGGACATTCATTGCTTATTTAAAAATGATTTCAGTATACGATGTCGATTATTTAAGAAAATTTCACAAATTGATGGATGGTTCCTATCCGTATACCTCAAAAGATTTTTCAGTATGGCCTAGGAAATTTCATGGTGGACCACATTATCCGATGCATAAGTCAGTATTTTAAAACCTCTCTGTATCCTATCCTGGCAATGGGCAGGTCACTGATTATTTACAGGTAAACAGGTAGGTAGACAATACCGGTAAAGGATATGAGACAATTATAGTCATTGCAAAAAATTTTCGTAAATGACTGTGTAATTTTCACATCGAGATATGAATGCAAATTTACCATTTAAATGTATAATTGCAAATTTGTTTCAAATTAAATCTCGTTGAAAATCTGACAAAAATTTTGGAAGTTAATTGGAAGCAAGGAATGAGTATTCACTAAAGTTGCTTAGTGTACTATGTTTTTACCTGGTTCAACGGCAGAGGAAGGGAGGGGAGAAAAAACATTTACAGATAAACTAAACTGATGACTAACATTAGCACTCGGAAGATGCGGTACTTTTGTTCAACGGTTTTTTCGTGATATATTTTTTCTTCTTCTTCTTAAAAAAAGGTGTGCAAAGGATTCAAACCTGCATTCTTAGAGGAGTTCCAGTGGAAGGGAGTCCTTGCGGGAGTACGGTAGTCGTCCCCAACACCAGATGGACAAGCTTCCCTGTCCAAGTTCCAATAACTGTCCATTCCTAGTTCGTCACCCATGAATACTGTGGATGTTCCAGGGAGGAGCAGGTTCATGATGTTCACGATGTCCGTGGCAGACGATGCACCCATGCGGGATGGAATTCGTGGCCAATCGTGATTACCAGACTAAAAAAAATAATGAAATATGGTTCTTAATTATTTGTCTGTGATGGTCTCTTGGAGGTGGTTTGTCCTGCATGAAGTAGTTCGACAAAAGTTGTTTAAACAAGATGGAAGCGTTTTGTTTAAGGCAAAATGATCATGATGTATGATTAATTTCAGAAACCACGAGGCATGGCAATTTTTCAAGTTTTTTGAATATCAACTTCTTTTTTTCCCCCAAACGAAAACGAGCCAACTTCATCGTTTAAAAGTTTTAACAAATATCTATCGTGATTACCAGACTAAAAAAATAATGGAAGATGGCTCTTAATAATTTTTCTGTGATGGTCTCTCGGAGGTGGTTTGTCGTGCATGACGAAGAAGTTCAACATAAGTTGTTCAAACAACTTGTAAGAAGCGTTGTGTTTAAGGCAAAATGATCACGATGTATGGTTAATTTCGGAAACCACGAGGCATGGCCATTTTCCAATTTTTCTGTAATTCGACTTCTTTTTTTCCCCCAAACGAAAACGAGCCAACTTCATCGTTGGAAAGTTTTAACAAATATCTATATTAAGAGAGGCAAAATTGGGAATAATTCAAGAAATTTGGTTAGTTGATCTGCTTGGTCTGACGGAAAGTATACGTTGCTTTGCGCAGACCTATATACGACGTTTTTGAGTCCGGCCATAGAAGTGTGTGATTGTATTCTCTGTGAACTTCCGCTCTTGAAATCACTTTGAATTGGAGGCTCTAGAGTACATACCACCCAATTGGGGAACTTGAAGTCATCTAGACGATCCAAGTAGCTCTGAATGGTGTTCTTGATGTTCAGTGCTTTTGTCTCGGCATTGAAGTCAGTGAGAAGTAAGAAGTTGAAAGGGAAATGTGCTCCGACGCGACCGTCTGTGCCATAGTACTTGACTGTTTCTTGAGGTCCAGCGTAGCCCTCGGTTGTCAAGAATCTGAAAATTCCACAATATAAATCAGTGTAACAGGCGAATTGTTGCAAGCTTGTGTCGTATTGCACCAACTCTTACAGCCCAGCCCTGTCTCTACGATTAAAATGTAACCTCAAAATTGAGGAATATATCGAAAACTGACCAATCATGTCGCAAACTTCCAATGAATGCCTGTACCTTGAATTTCCGAATCCATCTTGGAAACAGAAATTTATTAGATTTCCATTACCATCGACACTCAAGATTTTTAAAGGCGGCCAAAAAGAACAGTAAAGCCAATGATGAGCCTTCAACGTAAAATTAAGACAGAAATAGTACAAGGCATTGACGTTGCGGACCGCAACCACGTATCTCGTTTGCGGTGTTTGAAAATCTCCGCTTTCATCCAATTTATTTTTTAAAGGAGAACGTTATTGCAAAGAACTATGCGGGTTCCAAACCTTCATTTCTAATACAGTGCTTGTAGCAAGTAACTATTTGCTTTAGTTTTGAGCATGCATGTGAAGACGATAAAAATTGCTGACGTTTTGGTTTCTTTACGTACATATTAACATAATTCTCTTCGCTGTACGCATCGATGAAAGCTCTGAAATCTTCGATGATCTTGTAAGTCTCGGGTAGGTTTTGAGTTTTGTCGTGATTTCCGTGTTCATCCCTTAGTTCTTCGTCTTCAATCAAATGAGGTACAGCATCCAGCCTCCAACCTTGCACACCTTTGTCCATCCAGAACTTCATGATATCCTGAAACCCAGCGAAGTAAATCAAAGTCAGTATTCATATACGCGCTTGAAAATACTAAAAGCACTACAGCATTTAATATAATATATTGGTAAATGTTTTGTTAAAATAAAGTACCATATCGCTGTGATGAGGGCACTGCACATTTTTTACCAAAAACTCATTTATGTTCAGTACATAAGATATTTTAATAACTACTTAAAAGAGGTAAAACTCAGTTTAGCTCATAGGTCTCAATGTATTTTGTCCTTACGCACAAGCAACTCAAATAGAATACGAATAAAATGTTACAAAAAAAGCATAGAAGTTTATAAAAAAAATATATGAATAAATCCCACCGAGGCCAATACCACCTGGGCATGTGCCTAAAAAAACATTTCCCAAAAAAAAAGGGTAGCCTTGATATTTTTTTGCCGCTTTTTGACTCATTTCTTCATATGAGTGATTGCAACACTATCCAATCCACAGCAACGATTATGGAAATCAATTCGGTTTTCGTCGCACGTATAAGCCGAGTGTGCGGAAAGTAAATTTTTCCTAGTGAAAAGAAAAAAAAATAAACTGATTCGCTGACGCTTGTAATTTGGCAGAAGGATGTCATTTTTGGTGGATTTTCCTCCATTAACATTCGAATTTTCATGTTTTAAAAGAGTGCTATAACTTTTTTGTAATTTAGTGCATCCAATAGTTGACCCTCACGTCAAAAAAATACTTCCATTAAAATTCCCTCTTTTAATGAAATTTTTGGGCAACAGATACACATTTTAGCGGGCTCAGAGATATTTCAAATTTATTCGAATATACGCCTCTGGAAAACCAACTTAATATCGTTTTTTTAAAACTATCTTAAAATTTACATTCTTCCGGAAAACGTGCATGGTTTTGAGGTCAATGCGACTTTGCAGGGTTTCCTAAAAAACGATCAATTTTAAAAATGATGACAATGTTTCCACTTTTTCTTAAAAGAAAACTAGAGATTTTGTCCTTCTTTTGTTTCTCTTTCTCATGGACCGAACAAGTGACAACAAACCAATAGTAAGATTTTGATTCTTAATCATCGGATCATACGCACCATGCACCCTCTCAAATTTGTTGTGATGAGGTTGTTACCAGTGTAACATTTAACTCACCTTCCCTTGAATCAGTTTAGCCTGTTGTGCGCACCCCCAACTATTTTATTATCGCGGATGTAGCATGAATACTAACCGCGATGGATTTCGAATGCATACTTAATTCTAATTTTATAGTGCAAACAGTGTAAATTAAGTTCACTTTATGCACTTTTACGTGTCTTACGCGCAGTAAACGTGAAATTCCACTGAGGCCTACCTTTAACTCTTCAATGACTTTTGGGTTACGGAAATTCAAATCAGGCTGCTCAACCATGAAGGCGTGGTAGTAGAATTGCTTCCTTTCCGGGTTCCATTCCCATGCAGACCCGGGTCGACCGACGGCAAAGATGGATTCCTGCCCAGACAGAAAAATACAAGTTAATATTATAGGAGCTGTAAAATATACTACCTTTTTGCAAATTTTATAGTATACTATGAATCCCAATATCGAGCCGAAACTTAATTTTCTCAGCTTTCACTCCACTGCAGCAGTCAGGAAGCATGGAGTCTTAATATTGTGCTTCATGAACAATTCGTCGTCCCTTAGACAAGGGGACTTAACATTGTGAAACTTACTCAAAGACTTTACTTTTATACGAGAGTAGAACTGTGTGCTTTCCATTAAATAATACATTGATCTTTGTGTTAAATCAGAAGAAAAATCAGTAATATCTTTAGTCAAAAACTTCCAAGCTCCACGAGTAAAAACTCAAGTTGTGGGTGGAAATTTTTTAACGTTGAAACGTAGATATGCTTTCCGTATGGGAGCCGGCCAAACTTAGCAAAAATAAATATTCAGCTCAGCATCAATTGTTAGATGGTTTTACAAAAGCTCACTAACATGATGTAAAAACAAGCAGTGAACTCCAACACAATGTGTTGATAAGGCGCGTCATTAACTCGCACATATCAACCCCTTTAGTTTTCATTTACAGAGATTTCAAAATAGGCAAACAGCATAAAAAGAGAATTCACGATCCAACACTGCGAGGTCAAAGACGCACCTTGACGAGACCGTGTATTGTGAAAGTAGAAAGCTATTCGATCGAATTTAAGTTTTTTGATCTGCCTCAAGCAAAATCTTATCAGATTCTTGAAGAAAAGTGCTACGGAATAATTTAAGCGAAGAAAGGAAAAATTCTGTCGAACTCCTAGAAGATAAAGTCGATTTAAAGGTATTTTGGGGCTAAAATACCCAAATCACCGGTAGTAAAAATCCCGTTATATTATTGAAAAGAAATTGACTCGATATAAATGCAATTGCATTAAATACGTCTTGATTTTGTTATTTTAAACGTCTTTCCATGCAAAGAAGTTCAACCATGTCGTTGCTTTATTCATTCATGAATTGAAAGTAAGCAATCTACATCCCGAAAATCTACTGATTTGCCGTAAAAAATTGCAGAAACTTGATATACCAGGTCGATGCACCCACTCGTTGAATTTACCAACCAATTTTGTGAGTGCAAATGTGTAAGAATCAATATGCTATAGTCATTTTGGGTGCATTTATTTTTCATGAAACAATAATAATTTCAATCCCGAAAAACCATCAATTTTCCGTATAAAATCGAAAAAATCAAAATATGTCAACTCCCCGACGTGAAAATTAGATTCTACGTATGTAAAATGTAAATACTTATGTATCGATATGCTGAACAGAACTATGTGTGGACAGTCAGAAGCCCGCGGCAACATTAATTCAACAGAAAAACTGTAAAAATTAGATAGGATTTTAGCCGCTTTGCCCGCCTCTCCTCGCTACTTACAACAAACCGTTCTTATACTCATCTCAAAATTTTTCTCAGAGCTTTGGGTTATTATCAGCTTCCATTTAAACTCCGGTTCGATGGCCGAATCGGCTGCCAAAAAAGCAAGCCACTGTTGAGGGGTTCTATGAGAAATTCGTGATATTATCGGCTCTCAGGAAATCACCCCATGGCTAAAATTGGTGGTATAAATGTTTAAGTGCTTAAAATAATCGTATTCAAGAAACTAAGGAATTAAACTATGGAGTCAATTTCTTTTTAATAATATAACGAATTTACTACCGGTGATTTAGCTATTATAGCCCCAGAATACTTTTAAAGCGCCTTTGCGTTCCAGAATCTCGACGGAATTTTTTTTTTTTTTTTTTTTGCTTAAACGATTCAAGAAACATTGTAGTTAAAAATATAAAGATTTTTCGATTTGGACGTATGAAAAATGTTTAACTCGTTCAGGCACACCGTGTATTGTATGGAGTACTGCTGTTATTCGACCGTTGTCTTCAGGTCAAAATTCTTACAAAGAAGCCCCTTGCAAGAGGCAAATTTTTTGTAATTTCTCCCAGTTTTTTCAGCGTTAGGTATATAAATGAATTGTTTGTCAAATTTTGAGGTCAATTATATTTAATTGTAATTTATACTTTCTTTTTTTCCCCTTCATTTTATTTTTCGTATCGAGGAGTCGAGGTTTTGTTGATTTCTTCGGATTTCGATTACTGTAACTTCTCTTCTATTCGGCCGATTTTTATGAATGAGGTCTCTTTTTATTTGTGTTTTAACGGAGAGTAAGGAAAAAATTGCTAAATACATGCGAAACAATTTTTTTTGAAAATTGGATGAATCCTAGCGTGACGGTGAAATGGTTAATGAAGCGTGAGTAATTGGGGTACGGGTATCGGCCGCGTTGGGACCCAAGGCCCATTGTTCTTCGTGACGCCGACGCAGTGATCAGGAGCGTGGGGACGAGAGGGCTTAGTGGACTCCTGTATGAGCCACGTTTAGCAAATGGTCTAATGAGTCTCGAGGCTCATCACAGATTGCACTTACCACTATCCTGGTGGCCCCGGCTATCAGAGCAAGGAGTACCAACTTTTGAAAAGGATAACAGTGTTGTGGAGATATGTCAAAGCAACGTTGTGAACAAAACGGAGTGAGTGAAATTCTCATTCAAGGAGTGCCGAACTGGTCAGCCATCCTCGAATCAGTTCGCTTGCTTCCGCTTATATATGCATATTTTAAATCAGCGCGCCCCATTCTAAGGTTTTTTTAAAAAAAACCAAGAAACGTAGACTCTTGGTATTCATTACACATAAACTAGCGAGCCCCAGAATGAGAAACAAATTTTAATCATTATTATTGACGGATTAGTAAACTTTTTACACGCTTTGGAAAATCTCAGAAGTTCGCGGTAGTCACTTTTCGGTAAGGAACTAGGGGACTCGGTTATTGTATCGGGGGGGGGGGGTCGAAACGATCGCAAAGGCGGTATACTACGTATACGCGCCAAAATGAGTTCTGTATTCAACTAGACGTCACTTTTTCATGCCAAAAATGCAAGTTTGAGACATCATGTTTGAACGTAAAACGAGACGTTAAACTAATCATGATCTTTCGGGGGAATACATCTTCAAACTTTTATCTCGGTTCAAACCTGACGCAAACACCGTACCTACGTTTCTGTCAAAACTTGATCCAAGTCGCATTGTTCGTATCTCAATTGGGTTGAAAAAGGCGCTCCTTCCTGGAGCAACCCTCTGCACAAATCATGTTCAATGCTATTTTATTTCACAAAGCACCAGAGTTCAATTTAAATGTATGGACCGTGGTCATTCTGATTTTGCCACAATAAATGCTATTCCGCGTGGGTATTCCTCGGAGATACAGGATTTGGTCTCCTACTGAAGTTACACAAATGTTAGTCAATTTACCCAGTTATTTGGTGGAATAGGTTTTCCTTCCCCGTCATAGCCCTTGGGATCCTTCCATACGTAATAATCTGTGTACGGCTCTATTTTCTGTACGGACTTCTTGAACCATTCGTGCTGATCGCTCGTGTGATTTGGGACGAAGTCCATGATGAGTTCAATGGCTGAAAATTTCCCGTTAAGCCATTGAATTAGTTAGTTGAATGTAAGAATCAGCGAGTTCATAAATCGGAGAGTGTCCAAGAATTGGAGGCTGATTTATTGAAATTAAAAACTGATGATATCAATCGAAAAAATTGATAACATCGAGCAGTAAATCAGGTCCAAGCAGCTGGTCTGGTTCGACAATTGAACATGCACAGGTTGGCAGACGATCGGATGCACAACAGTGGCGTGGCGTGAATTGCGATGTATCGATTGTTATGTCATTCAAACCTACGGAAAAGGATCGATAAACAGGGTGTTTGCAACGAACACCGTAATAATCGATTCTTAATCATAGGTTTAAATGGCATAACAATCGATGTATCGCAATTCACGCCACGCAACTGATGCACAAGCAGGTTTTCGGTTGCGCTCCTCCCGGGAGGAGGCGACGTGGACTTCTTCTGAAAGGTCGGCAACAAGGAGTGGAGTAGGAGATCAGGAGATGTTAATAGTGGGTCAGTTGCGCTGGTCACAAAATCGTGTTTTAATGCTTGATTCTTGCAGGTTAGCTGACAATTATAGGATCTGTCCAAACCGGAACTTTCTAAGTTCAATATTAACCGATATATCGCCATTCAAAAAGTCGAGGTTTTGACGTCATCCACCGCGGTATTCTGCTGTGCTAAGGAAGAACGCCGTATGAGCCTTCAGGCGTTGCCAAATTTCCCTTGATAAAACACGAATTTATTGGTCAACCTGTGAATATTTTTCTTCCAATTTTTCAGATAATTTTCTCGCAATGAGCCTGTTGCATGCAAGAGATACAGCTGTGCGAATAGACTTTTTAGAGGTTAAATGACACGAAAATTACAATGGTCACATTAAAAAAGTCTGAAATACACTCCTTACTGCGCAATTTGCGTTGTTAGGGACGCGTTTTTTTCAAATTTCCCGCGTCTGAGGGCAGTTTTCTAACGGAAACAATTAACGGCAACTCGCGGCTATTTCCGGTCAACTAAAACTGACAACATAACCTAAAAATCGGAGCTCGTGATATCGTGAAATGAAATGTAGAAGGATTGTGTTGGATATTTAAAAGTTGATCGATTTGGTTACCGCATAAAGCGTACATGGACCACTATAAGAGATCACGTTGGGTTTGTAAACAAACTGAAGGAAAAAATAACAACAACAACAACGACTCGGCATCTTCCGGAAATCACCGAGCCCGCCGTTTGCTCGTTTCCGGTGATTAGAAAACTGCCCCCAGACGCGGGAAATTTGAAAAAGCGCGTTCCTAACAACACAAATTGCGCAGTAAGGAGTGTATTTCAGGCTTTTTTAATGTGACCATCGTACTTTTCGTGTCATTTAACCTCTAAAAAGTCTATTCGCGCGGCTGTATCTCTTGCATGCAACAGGCCCATTTCGCCGAAAAGTCCTTAAAATTTCAGGGGAAAAGATTCGTAAGTTTCCTCGGAATTGAACATTTTTTTTAAGGAAATTCGGCAACTCTCGAATGTTTGTGCGGCGTTCTTCCTTAGCAAGGCAGTATTGACACCCGTGGTTTCTTCAGATGAAAGCAAGGTGGAAGGAGCCTTGGAACCAAGGATGTCACTACCATCATCGTCAAGACCAAAAGCAACGATTCTGTGACCAGCGCAACCGACCCATCGTCTGGAGGATAGGGGCAATGACGATTGGGTGTCGCAGAGCGCGAGCAGCGCTGCAAAATCAGATGTGCTGTGATGCATGTAAAAATTGATGATTGGTTATATCATAAACGCCTAACCGATGGGGAGTGTTTTTTTATGTCAACCTGCACATAGAATCCTAGTATACCAGTGAAAATGCGCTCAAATGGCGCACCGGATCAACAACAAGATGGCGGATAGGGGTCTCACATATTTAGAATAGATTTAATTAGTATACCTTTATTTAATGCTTCTGATATCACAGAGTGGAGGACGATAATCGTTTTTCTATAGTTCATCTCTTAACGGTGGTGTGATTTTCTCAAAGTTGAAAATTGAAATTTTGGTGAGGGGAGTTCATCACTCATCATTGCTCATCTTCATCAGGGAACTTAAAAACGCACCTACGTAGAAAACAGCTGAGCGCCTTTGTAATACAAACGTATTACAAATTTCTGGCTTGTTTTTAGTTTCTTTCGACCTGCGTATTACGCATGCTGGTATTGTAATATACTTCGGTATTGCCATTTTTCCATCCATATATATGTATTTTGACTGTTTAATTCAAATTTACAATGTTGCAAGCTGTCCAGCCCCGGGCGCATCATCAGCTTATAAAGATGATGGTACCATTCCAGTAATTATAGGATTTTCTTTAACGGAAAATATTCTTTACTAGAAATAGCCATGCTGGTATATGAGAAACACGATACGAAGCTGACGCGAACATGCCATAATCATGATATCAACACGGTATCATCAGCGTACAATGTTCAGACCGAGTCGGTTGGTACCATGCTAATACCATTTTGGCGTCTCACTAACATGGTCGTTTGTTGAAGGCATTTTGGTCATAACATAATCTCAACATAGCATGGGTATATTTTACGTTTGGTAAATTTATTTTGTGGGAAAGAAGAGTATGGTGAAAAAGAGCTGTTTCTTAGCCAATGTGCTATGTAAAGAAATTTGCGAAAGAGGTCGAAGCTCTAATTAGATTTTTTAAAATATGTATCTGTTATAAATCACGAATGAAGAAAAAAACACTAAGGAGTGGCCCACCTTGTTATAAATTACGTAAAGCTTGTAAGATCATTTAACCACTTACGATTCGATCCCGACGTGTACTTGAGAGTTTCCAATAGATACTCAAAGTCCTCCATGGTGCCGTATCTTTTATCTATTTTTCGGAAATCACTGACATCGTAACCATTGTCCTTCAACGGTGACTTGTAAAAGGGATTGAGCCATATAGCTCCGACTCTCAGTTCCTGCAAATAGCTAACTTTTTCCGCAACTCCTGAGAATCAAAATTTTAATACAAAATTGTATTAGGTATGATAAAGTCAAATTTAAAAAGGCATGTTGAAAGTAATTAACATTATATTCCAATGTCTAAACTTCCTAGGCCTTGTCTCCACGAGCCGTTTCACGAGATTTGTCCCGGGGAAAAATCCCACTTACGAAGTTGGGAAAAATATTGAGTTAATCAATATTTTTCCCAGTACCAAGTATGGTACTTGTACCCCTAAGATCCACTGAGAGAAGAAGAAGAAGTGAAAACGAATTGTGCGATATTTTATTCATTACTACATCGTTAATGTTTGTTTAGTTAAAAAATGTGTCTAATTGTCAATTGAGTGCAATTATTATTTTAATCCCGGTTAAATACTCGACTTTAACTAATTTATCTTCCCGCGAAAATTAGTCGCAGGACTGTATGAGCCCTGTCCCGTAGAGACGGTAACTGGGAAAAATCCCAGAAGTTTCATTCTTGCGATTCGAACTTGGGACAAATTCCATGAAAACGTCCCGTGGAGACAAGGCCCCAAAGTGAAAAAATCAAACACTGGGGCAAGTTTTACACTGCAAACGGTACGCAAAGAAGACAAGTACAGGGAGAGGTGACTCCGTGGAAGTTGTTTGTTGATCAAATATTGTGACACTTTGTCACATACGTATATTTATATTCGGTAATTTGTTACAGCAGTCAGATGCACGTTGAAACGTTCACTTAGTCGCCACCCTTCAAACAATTTAGAGATTGATATGTTAACTATCTATAGGACTTAACTACGTTTTGGTATCTATAAAAATTGCAATTGCGTACATTGACCGACAAGTTTAGAGTCAAGCAAGGGCTCATATACGCACTCACAGCAACGAACACTGCAATAAAATCGTTAATTCTGCAATAAGAACATAGCTACAACAGCATGCAACTAAAAAGTCCAATGTTTAAACTACAGCTAAAATGAATATGTACCCACGACTTGCAAACAACTTTAATCTAACGCTCATGATTTGGTTTTCCGTCTCTCATCAACCATTTTATTGTTTCAAGTTAGGTTTCATCCATGGAAGATGTTATTAATATACGATCTTGAAGGAATGACGAAGAAATTTTTTTAATTTTGGTGCATATCCAGCACGCATCCTTATAATTCAACTTTTGTGCTATTTCATTGACTTCTAAAACCATTAAGTAAATCAGGGAACCTGTGATTCAAAGATAATTGGAAAACTTTTTAACTTCGGACGGTAGCAGGAATTTTTCCACGAGGACATCCTCGGTATCGCTTCTCAGATTGTGAGTGTGCACTGTAAAAATGTGCGTGCGTGTGAATTTCAGTTCATGAAAAACCTTCAGAAAAAATTGATTGAGGCTGGAATTTTCCAAATAGGTATGCCAAAAATGAGCTGGTGAGTTCTCATTTCTATCTCGAGCGACGCCATGAGTCACGTTTTTGAAAGTTCGAATCGGGCAATGCTCCCCATTTAACTTACATTTAACTGAATTTCATAAGGAACACAAGCGACTTAAACTCACAAATAATACCCCCAAGATCAACCTTAAAATGATGTCTAATCAGATATGGTTTGAAAGGTCTAGTGATTTTTATGAGGATTTGTAAACATTATGTCTTTAACCGGGTTGTTACTCGTTTTTTCATGAAATTCATTAGGAACCCTAGTTATGGTCATTTTCTACACATTAAGGCCTCATTTAGTCATAATAATTGGTTAAGGAGGCCTAATACTTTAAGGAACGAACACCAATGCGCATGCGCATAGAAAAAGTACAGAAAAAGGCAACGAGATTGTCACTGCCACCTTCAGATTCAGTTGTGATGTAGACGTATACATCGGCCTATCAGTCGATAAGAGTGAGGCTTCAACAAAGAGAACCTACACATTGCTTCACCCAAATACGACCTAATTTTGTCACAATTTTTACAGACCTACCTGTGCTAGCTGTGATGTAGAGATGAACATTCCTAGATGATACAACTAGATTCCCAGATGATACAGCTAATTATCTACAGAAAAAGATTTACCTCTCAAGTCTCCAAATCCATCATTATCCGAGTCATAGAAGGATTGCGGGTAGATCTCGTAAATTATAGTGTTTTGCCACCACTTGGGAATTTCCCCAGCGATACCGTAACTCCAGCAGCTTGGCGGAGCGGCCGCCAAAAGCAGCACCGTCGCAGTGACGGCGCTGCAGATCACGTTGGAAAACATCGCCCGGAAACCAGTCACAGACCCGAATGGTGTACCTCCACCAAACTGATGCATCGCTCAAAAGCTCGGGATTTTATAGGTGCGACTTGACATGATTTCGTGATTTATGCATGCGTTCCATGCGTGGGTTCTAAAAATGGGGGGCAGAAAAGTGACAGTTCGCGAGAAGTAAAGCAAAAACACCTCAAATGGATTTGACGAAAAAGCGAGCGGAACGGGCGAGATTATCGGGAAGCAGCGGTATAACTGCGTCATCATACATCACGAAAAAATAATTATTCTAGGAACTGCTATCATTACAAAAAGCATCTTCATTATCATCCGTACTTTTTCTGGTAAAATCTACCATCGCGTGCGCTCCGATGGCTAATGTATTTCTCGCCCAAGGACAATATTTGGCATGAGCTACCCGGTACAGATTGCAGTGCGCTCTAGAGAAATGAACTTCGACCTCCTCCATTACGAAAAATTCGATAAGTCGAAACCGTGGAGTATAATCTATGTGGACACTAGTTCCGTGCATGGTTGAAAAATTCTGCATGCGAGTGAACAATTGAGCGTTCCCTTATTGAGAGTCTGGTGTTCATTTGCACGCAATATCTGACGAATAAACTAGGAACATATTGTTCCACTGGTATTTGGGCCACTAGGCCCGCACCACCGTGAAATTTATGGGTAACTAACCATTCCGACATTTTTCATCGACTTATGGAGTTAAAGTCCTGGATTGAGGCTAAAACTTCATCCCTATGAACGCTCTTGCTGCAGAAAAAAAATTTCAACAGAATGTTTTTACTTCTTGAGGAGCACATCACAAGAAGTCAGACAAATTTTTTGATTAAAAAATTTTGACATCAATAGTTAACAATCACCCTAGATTGTGTTCTCATAACTTTGACAAGTGCGAATAAATTCAACTGCTTTTACAGTATCATTATTATGCAAAATGAAACGATGAAAAAAATTAACCCTACAATAAAAATGAATAAATCATATTTACGAATAGAGCACTCATTTTTAAGAAGAAACTAATATGTTCAATGATGTATGGCTCTTTTAAGAAAGAAACACGGAAAAANCATCAATAGTTAACAATCACCCTAGATTGTGTTCTCATAACTTTGACAAGTGCGAATAAATTCAACTGCTTTTACAGTATCATTATTATGCAAAATGAAACGATGAAAAAAATTAACCCTACAATAAAAATGAATAAATCATATTTACGAATAGAGCACTCATTTTTAAGAAGAAACTAATATGTTCAATGATGTATGGCTCTTTTAAGAAAGAAATACAGTTTTTTTATTATTATTATTTTGAAACGTCACAGCAGATTGAAATTTGCTATATCAGTCTATATTCAGTAAGTATGATTGCAAGAAGACCCAGAGAGTAAGATATGGAACATCATGACGGTAAGTACCATTCGATACATACTTCGTTACTTCAAAGAGGTATCTTCAGGACCCTTATTTCATTGAAGTCAGAAAAAGATGAACACGATCATTTGGAGGGGAGCTGTACAATAGAGAAACTATTTCTGAAATCACATACTAGGTTGAAGCAAAAGTAGTGTACGGAAGTTCAAAGGAATTGGTCAGTTACCCCTGCCACAAAATCTTATTTTGATGTTTTCAGATCAGCAGAGCTTTAATTGCCTTTAAAAAATGAGGACTTCCCTAGAGGGAGTATACAATTAGGACCGGACTAAGGGTGGATGCGCCAGGCGCCATCACGACAGGGGTGCTAAATTGAGCGGAGAGAAAAACTTAAAAGCAGAAAAAAGAAAGAAGGAAGCAGCAAAACAAATGGGAGGAGTTAGTTGAAAGGTTTTGAATGACGCTAAAGTTGTAGCTCATGTTGCTTTAGACTGTACGGTTTTCCTCGTTAGATGATGAAAGCAAATACATCTCGCTCCATGAACTTTGACAGAGCCATAGACAACGCGTCGACTTATTGGCAGGTATTGTCACCTCCGCAGTTCGCCTTCCGTCTTGCCGTATAGGCAAGAAACATAGCAAGAAGCGCAAGTAGTTCTCTGTTCGAGACATCAACATATCGTCGTCTTCCAAAAGAAAGTACGTGACTGCATCTCAACACAAAGGCGATTCTTTTTATTTGGCAACCCTTTTTTTTCCCTCCATTCAAATGTATGTGAAAAAAATCGGTTTATGGTGAGGCAGTTTGCGTCACTTAAAATAAATATTTTAATGACTTTCAACGAGGGAAAGAAATGTTGCCAACTTGCGAAATTGTCACTGTCTCAGCATCGCTAAGATTTCAAGTCGTGCCTTAACCGTGATTCTTACTTTGTCGAGGAAACTGCTGGGGATTCAAAATTGAAAATTTCACCGATTTTTCCTCTGGCCATAGCAAGAGTCAGCGATTTTTTGAAAAGAAATTGCTCGGTTATAGTTTTTTTTGGCAGAAAATTGAATTATTGGAATTTATTTGTCGCTCCTATGACGCGAAGGCGTATCTCAATTTCCATGTGAGCTCTATGGTCCATATAACTCTGTGGGTCATGTGGAAATGGAGTTATGCCCTTACGTCAGAGGGGTGACGTATTTAGCAACCTTGGAATTGAGTTCCGTTCCTTGGTCTGGCGACCGACGCTCAGTGGATCGTGTCAATGGGAAAGGTCGGACAAAATTTAAAAACTTTAAAAGCTTCATTTCATACAAAACTTACATTTCAATATTATTCATACAAAACTTTGGAATTTTAAAAGTGGTTCGATTGGTTTCCTCGTGAAATTTTCGTCGAGAGGCACCCCTTAAACTTTAAAATTTTACGAACTAAACATCAAAATTCGCAATGTTAGTTAAAAATTTCATGTCCAACCTCTCTAATTGACTCGATCCACTGTGCGACGCAACATCTTGCTCAATGTACCCAAATAAAGCCAAAAAGGGATGCGTTAACCTATATTGTTAGATATCTTCATTTGATATTCGCCTTCTATTTTCCCTTGTAGGCAAAGAAACATACCTGTGAGTGTGAATAGTTATCTTTTCAAAAACACAAACTTATACTTCCCTCCATTACCCTCACCGAAAAAAAAGTGAAGTTGATTTAACATTCTGGGTGTAAAAAAAAGTGTACGAGAACTCACAGAATGCTGAACTACCCGCTGCGGCAGTTAGTTTTACATCTTGACATTGCTAAAGTAACTGCTGTACCAGTTATTTCAGCATTTTGTAAGTTCTCGCACACTTTTCTTACATCCAGAATGTTAAATCAACTTCACTTTTTTTTTCAGTGTTCATTGAAAATAAAGAATTCTGAAACCTTTGGCACCTATGCCACATATTCTTAACTCGAGGTTCCCCTTCAATTTTGCCGCATATGCAACAAACGTGCTGGGAACCGCGAAGAGTCATCTATTCAAATAACGGACATTCATCGCGCTTCTTAGGTTTTGAATGCTTGATTGAACAAGGCGGTAAGCTTTTCATTCATTCCGCAGCTGCTTTAAAAATTTCATTTCAATCAATTTGATTGTAATTTAGGAACAATATATTCAAGTATTAAACGTCAATTTTGAGAATATAATTAATATTTGAACAGTTAACTCAGGTTTCAAAACTCTAGTTTTTCTTCCTCCAGCTAGCATTTTTGTTTAAATATCATGTCTGACGGCAAATGTGCTTTAATTTGCTTTACTAAGCTTTTCTATGGTATCACTGGCATCATGTTTCCGGTTTTTTTACTTTTTTTGGTCTCGAGTCGATTCATTCGAATGTCAAGTTTGATTAAGCACAATAAATATTTAGTCAGAACCATCAAATGCACCGCATTAAATGTAAAACCGTAGAAAGAATCAAGACTGACTAATGAGGACAAGTAAATTCGTGAATTATTTTCTTGTACTTTCCACCGCATGTTAGGTGAAGAAAGGGATGGATAATACTGAATATACTGAGCATGCCATATAAGAGGCTCTAAATTTATAAAATAATTTGGGGTTCGTCCACTGGATCCTCCTTCAGAATTAGGATGTTAGGTGTCTTCAAAACATTTCACATTCCATTTCTTATACGAGGGTCCCAAAATCAATCTCGCGCCAGGTAAACAAATTAACAAAACTGGCACTGTAGAGAACGTTAAAATTAGAGATTTATGCGAATGAAAGACCGGAGAAATGCATTTGGCCAGTTTAGTTTTCATTTGAATTTTCGGTCAAAAAATTGTGCATCACAACAAAACCCTTACCATTGAAGATGTTAGTTAATCCTTATTAATAATGTTGTTTTAGGCAACTCATTTTTAGCTCTATCTATGTCATGCGTGGTCTAAAGAGCCAAGACCAAGACATTTGACCCAGGCAAATAACTTCTCACAGCCACAAGTAAAATTTTACCACAAACGAGTATACTTTTTTTCCTTTTGAGAACAGATTGACAAGGAAACAGCTTTCTTTGCTATTGATGAACTGTCAAACATTAAAATCATTTTTATTCACCTCTAGGTACATGAAGTTCGATTCGTTCATGTACATAGGAAAAGTGGTTAAATATTTTTATGTGAAAGAAGACACTGAATTTCACCGTACTGATGAGAATCTATCTAAATACTGTTGTTTGACCAATGCAATCTATCGAGACACCATTAAATGGGTATAATGCTATTTATGTTATTTTTGCTTAATTTTGGATGGTGTTTATTAATTTTCAGACTTTAAGAGATTGAAAAAGTACATATTAGACCTTCTTACCGACTGGACATACATAATTGCTTGTCTTTACAATAGCACATAATGCTAAAATTGAAGAAATTGGTAAAATTGTGTTGGTAAATGTGTCGTTTTCGCATTATCGTTCTTAATTCCAATACAAAGTTTAGAGCCGCATTAAACTAGTTTTAGAAAAACATACTCACACCTACACAACTTGGCACCAACGATTTATTTTATCGCAAATATTCCAGGAATATGAGTGGGATGACTCGACTTCCATTTATTTCCCTGTATGCGGAAAATTACAGATCTGACACTAATGCTTTTTGCGCTGTTACCAGAGCAAGGTTGAACGTTTCTTTTTTTCCCTGAAAGTAGTAAGTACATATGTCATGCGTTAGTTTTTCCGTGGAATTTTCTTATGGACGCTTTTACATCTTTAAAATGTAGCACCAGATTCATCTTTATTTTTCGTCGAAATTTCATTTGGAGTCATAAAATGAAAAAATATCGAAGTTATTCCTGGTATCTGGTTTCCTGAAAATGTTTTTGAAAAATTAACTTTTGGGAATTTCCAAGATTTTTCTCTTGGTAAGTTGGTTTGCTTTTCAGATTTGCACACTGAGGAGGACCTTTAAAAGTATAAGTACTTTTTTCAGTTTAATGCACGTTATATCACATTTTCCTGTTAATTATTGAATTTACTGGAATATTCTGTGACAACCGCTTTTACGTCGCAGCTTTGCGCCCATTTTTCTCCACTTGAGCATTTGACACCCTCTGATTTCCTCCTTTCCTTATTGCCAACCTCTTACAGAGCATCCACACCGTCTTCTTCCGGAAGTAAGTCAATTGAAAACTTGTTTGGGCAACCGATCATGTGTCATCCTTTACAAATGTCCTGAAAAATATATACCAACACGAATATACGGATTTTGGTCAGCAAAATTGCAGAAAATCAAAATTTTGAAAACATGCATTTCAGAAAAGCGTGATTCTGAATATTCATCATCGATTTGATGGATGAAGAAGTCAGTTGATAAAAACCTCATTGACACCAAATTCGTGTGAATATGCCTCACGAAACAACGTCAGACTGATTTATCTGAGATCAGACTGGCGCATCTACACGAAGGTGGCATGATATGTACTTTTATTTTCTTGGAAAAATACATTAATGGTCCTTGATCACTCCACCACCGGCGACGGTTTTGATAAAAAATTTGAATGAAAATCAATGCATTCAAAGGAAAAATGCACACGTGGTAAGCATACCTGTCGTCAGTTATTTTAGACCCACGACATGCGTAGTTAAGTAATAGCCTTGAAAATTTTTCACGTTAATGCAGGTATACAATTTGATACCGGGATTTTTTCTCACCACTCAAAGGCGCCCGATCCATTCAACTCTCCCTATAAATCACTGCACACGGCTTGGTCAACCTTCACTTTTCGTTCGTCAACCTTTCCTGTTGTTAAGAGTGGTGGTATGCTGGTTTGGTAACCTCAGTTTAGTTTCGATGGGTTTCGGCCTATTTGTGGTGGCGCTCACAGCGTTTACTTGTTCGGGACTTGCGCAATGGCAGGCACATGAACCTCAGGAAAAGAAATGGTGGCAGGAAACGGTTATTTACGAAATATACCCACAGTCATTTTACGATTCAGATGGCGATGGTCTCGGAGATTTGAAAGGTAATGAACTTGTCTTAACCATTCACATATTTTTTTAACGAAATTCCAAGAGAAAATATTAAATTCCGTGTCAGGAGTGCGTCACAAAACCTGCGTTAGTCGGAAAAAGTTTACAATTTAAAAAAGATGACAATATTCACCGAGAGGTCAGTGAAACATGAAAGAAATATTAGTTGATTTTAACAAGTATATGAAAACTCCTTAGCACAGTAATTGGATAGGTGTGCAGAATTTGTAACTTTCATGACCAAGCAATAATGACCGATTAATGAGCTTTGAAACAATCAAATTGGTATCGTAGCTCGCAAAATGGTTTAAGAATATGCGTCAAATTTAAGTACTGCTATTCTATTAAGGGCAGACTGGTGGGTGCAAATTAACCTCATAATATTGCATCTAGCAGTAATGCAATATGACTATAGTCATATTCAAATTTATAAATTTGTCCTTATAACCCACGTAGTGCCTCGTGCATGTAAGGAACGTATGGGCTCCAGTATATACTGAAGAAAGGTCTAACTTTTCCTATGTTGGCAATCACTGGGTAGATACTACTAATATCGTCGCTCCTCTGACGTAAGGGCGTATCTCCATTTGAACGTGAGCCCTGTTCCACATAAAAATCCATGCTTTCTGGGGCTCATGTGGAAATCGAGATACGCCCTTAAGTCAGAGGAGCGACGATATACAAAAATTTGGAAGCATTTTTAATGAGAAGATGTTTGAGTTTTCATATTTTATCCGCGCCACTGACGTATTAAAATGCGCACAAAGAGCGTGTTGACTTTTTTTAAACATATTTATCAAGGTTCCTTATTATTGCTGTTTTTCTTTTTTTCCCCCGATGCTTCAAAATTTTTACTTAGTACAATAATCTTCTTTGTATCCGGAAGGTCCTCAAAAAATTACGTGTGTTTATCAAACTTCTGTCATTAAATAGGCATCGAGGAGAAAATGGACTACATATCCGAGCTTGGAGTTGGTGCAGTTTGGTTGAATCCGATGTATGCGTCGCCAGGGAAAGACAATGGATATGATGTCAGTGACTTCAGGGCCATCAATCCTAAGCTTGGAACCATGGAGGACTTCGAAAGTTTGCTTAAAACCATGAAACAAAACGGTTAGACAAATGAAGATTCCATTTATATACAGGGTGGTCCAGACCTACCGTATCAGGCCTTTTTTTCGGTTAATTTGTGTCGTACGAAGTCCAGGATCGCGGGTATGAATAGGGAATCGACCCGAAGGAATCCGAATTTCATGGTCCCAAAGCCCTCCTGGCGCTCCTTGCACTGTTAAAAATCGTTAATTCCGTCCGACGGAAAATCCGGAGTGAGAATGAACACGGGAGTGCGGTTCAGCGCGTAGGTGCTGAGACGGGCTGCATGTGTAGTCAAAGCACTCCGCACCGGAGCTGCAGTACGGCCCGGAGTCACGCGCACCTTCTCTCCCTCGCACTAGCGCTATATACTGTCTCTTCTCCCCTTTAAGCCCACCACTCTCAGAATGAAAATGAAAAATTTAAAGAGAAAAAAATAGAAAAAATAATAGAATAGTCGAAATTATGGTATAACAGAGACAATAGAAAAGAAATAAAATAAAGTAAATCAAATATATGATAAAATGAAGTCAAAATCTAAATTGAAGTAAATAATTAGAGGGAGCAAGGAGATGAAGAAAAAAATAAAATAAGGGAAACAACTAAATGATGTTAAAGAATAGAATGAATTTTAAGAGTAAAGTGAAGTCCAAAAATTATGATGAAGTATTAAAAGAAATCACAGTAAATATAAAACAAAGTAAAGGAATGAGAAGTAAATAATTAAAGAAAAAAAAATGAAGTGCTTGAAAAAATAAAAAAGAGTGAAGAAAAAATAGAGACAACAAGGAAATAAAACAAAGTAAAACGATAAAATAGGTATAGTTAAAAAATATAGTAAAGTAAACTAAATACACGGACAAATCCAGGTAGATTGAAAATATCTTAGCGGCCCGTTCAAATCGACGTTAAATACCGTTTTTGCGTCACATTCATGCAACGTTCGCTATAGCTCATTCGATAGGGTCGTCGGTCAGTGTTAGGTAGGTCCCGGGTTCAATTCCCAAGATAGGTAGAAAATTTCTAACCTTCAAAATCGGTTAAGTCACGTACCAATGGTTTCATTATTTTTATTTTTCATGGTTTCAAAAATTATTTCCACAATTAACCCCTTTCCACCATCCCCTAGCTGCGAACCCCTAAATTTGCGGCTCCCGCGAATCCGTCCGGCGTCGGAGTGATTTCTATGCGTACGGCACCCAAAATCCGTCCAGCCGATTCTCCGTCGGAGTGACTCCTCGGTCCGGCGAAGTGAGGGCCCGTTCTTACTCGCGCTTGTGCTGAGTCTCACTCCGTTTTTTTTAACAGTGTGGGGAATAAAAGGGGGGTCCGTACTTCAAAAGTCAGGGTTTATGTCAAAATTTTGAAATTATTTCATCGGAATCAGAACGTACGGAAATTTTTAACTTAAATCGACACCAAGAAATCCAAAATCGGCCCATTCGTGTCCAAAATACCGACCCCTAAAGGTGGGGCTCAGGGGTAACCTCCACACCGGTTGAATTTAAAAGTTCAGAGACCCCCTGTGCCCCATCAGAAAAGTCTTTGAGGACAACGGGACCCTCAAATTTGGATTCCTTGGGGTCGATTACCCATGAATACACATTTTTTCCGAGTCTCCGCACGTCAATTTAACGAACTTGAATATTTTTGAAAGGGGGCTCCGTCCCCCACCTTTAGGGGTCGGTATTTTGGACACGAATGGGCCGATTTTGGATTTCTTGGTGTCGATTTAAGTTAAAAATTTTCGTACGTTCTGATTCCGATGAAATAATTTCAAAATTTTGACATAAACCCTGAATTTTGAAGTACGGACCCCCCTTTTATCCCCCAAGGAGCGCCAGGGGGGCTTTGGAACCATGAAATTCGGATTCCTTGGGGTCGATTCCCTATTCATACCCGCGATCCTGGACTTCGTACGACACAAATTAACCGAAAAAAAGGCCTGGTACGGTAGGTCTGGGCCACCCTGAATAATACATCGGGTAATCAGCATAAGTCTGGTGGCATATTACCTTGTAAGGTATTGTGCACACGGAATTTTTCGTTACCTCCAGGCGAAGTCACCCGAGCATGTTTCTGAATCGGATCCAAAACATGTTAGGAATTAAGTTCCAAGATATCATTCTGATGGCCACAGTCTGGAGGGTGTAAAAAAATGAATCAGCGCGAGTTTCCATGACACTTGACGAATGGCATTCGGGACATAATGCGGAATATAACAATTCAGGAATAATCATATGAAAATGATCCTGAGTCCTATTTATAAATGTTGCTGAGATATAGTTAAAAGTTATCTTTTTCATGTCTATTTTTCAACGTTTATCTAAAATGTATCTAGCTGAGATTACTTGAACAAAATCGATTCTTTTCGGAATGCCGTCAAAATTACTCTATATTAAGTACAAGATTTGTCATTAAAAATATGTTTGCGACCTTTTAAAAATATATCGTTGAAATCGAATCAATGATATCTTTTGAAAATGATTAAACACATTTCTCTTTGCACGGCTCGTCTGAACGAATTTAAATAAAAGCTCAATGATTCATTGAGCTTTCATACCAAAGGGTTACGATATTTTGAAAAAAAGAGAGTCTCTTGAATCATGAAAGCCAAAAAACAAAAATTTAAGTTGATTCGTAAGTATTTAGGGCATAAAAAGCCGTATTCCTGTTGATAGTCCAGTAAACGAAGGGATTTATGCGGAACAAATTAGTAACAAGCTGAAATTTTCACCACTGATTATACCCACTGTGGGGCGTATTTTCACAAAAGTCCCCATTCCTAGCCCCCTAGGGATTTTTGCTAGCCCCCCTCAAAGTTGAAAAATCCCCCCTTCCAATTAAACTGCTGTAACTTGGCTCATATTATAGTTAGACACCTCAATTTTTTTTTAAATTGTTCGTATTGATACGTACGTTAAAATGAAACCATTGGTCATCAAAATTTATCAAGAGATCGTTAAGAAAATTTTAAAACAAATTCAAAATTTATGAAATGGAATTATTTTTTTTTAAATAAGTCGGAATAACTCCGTTATCGATTAAAAAATGGAATTTATACTTATATGAAAATTTTTAGAGGACGCAATTTCCTATCAAATGGTGTATTGGAAGTTAAGGTAGGAGCAAAGGGTGAGGATGAGAGGGG